GGGCGGGGGGGGGGGGGGGGGCGGTTGTGCAATGTCCCCCAACAAACGTGTCCTAACCTGTCCTAAACATCGACTTATTATTCAGTTGTGTACCGAAATTATCCCTGTGTGCGTTTCGGCGCCTATGGTAGGGGTGGAGGGCGGGTGTGTGTGTGTGTGTATGTGAGTGTGTGTGTGTGAGAGTGAGGACAAGAAAAAAATTCACTAGCTTCTATCTATTATGTATGTCGTAGGAGTCGAATAACTGGGGTTGTTTCATTCGAAGTTGGAGTGCGTCTGCATAAGAGGTGATAAACAAATAGTCTGCATAAGCAAAACGCATGTTATGGACCATGGGACAGACGAACAAGAAAAAGAAGGACAAGAACAAGAACAAGAACAAGAACAAGAAGACCAAGAAGAAGTTATTGACTATAAAGACTATAACTTGCACCACAAATTACCATTTATGCATGCATGATGAGCAGCCAGAAGACCGACTATAAGCCTGGGCTGCTCCGGTGTGCCTAATTTCTGCTCCTCTAAAAAAAGGGTAGTTTATCCATACTTAAAAGAAACCCTAAAACGTACGTTGATAAGAGAGGCCGAAAGTACTGGGCTGGACTTCATCCACAATATTGAATTATTACACAGGATATAAAGAAAGAGATGAAAACACTGCGAGCGCTAAGTGACATATAAAGACACAACAGGACAATGTTGCATGTACGCCAATGATTCGCAAACTGTGCGCCTAGGCGCCCCGACTGACTGACTGACTTTCTACCCCACCAGGACATCACACAAGCGATAAACACCCGATGACACAGTGTGAGGATCACCGTGGAGAGGTCCCAGAAACTGAGTTCAGCCTTTAGGCCATATTTATGGCCAGGCTATATTGCGGCCCCTGGCACGAGCCAGAGTAGGGCTTCAAAAAACGAAAAATTTCATCCTAAAAATGACAGAAAGTATGATTAATAACGGCGCCCCGGAAAGCCGCAAACATTTAACAGGGGCGCCGCGAAATATTCTAAGATGCACAAGTTTAAATTTTTTTGGAAAAAGGGGGGGGGGGGGTAATCTCTTACATACGTATAGTCATACTTCTTACACAGGCTGGGGCGCCGTAGAAAAATTGTAATCGAATAAAGGCGCCGCGGCTGAGAACAGTTTGGGAAACACTGATGTACTTATTTCCTACTACGGCTGGTTCCTACTTACTATGTAAATTTTCAAGGTAGGAAACTGTTGAAAATCTTACAGGCAATATATTTTCAGGATTATGTCCCCTGAATATTATTCAAAATTTAAAGAGGCGCCGCTATCTTTACGTTACAGAATAGGAGTTTTCTCCAGCGGAGGTTCAGATACATCCTGTTACGAGGAAAGAGAACAGACCCACTGCTGTTAAACAAGCATGTCGTGAAATGCGATAAATTCGGTTGTTTTTTTAATGGAGGATTTGTTGGGCCGAGCTTTAAACTAAAACACAACAACGTTAAATCCGTCCTTTCAAGTGCAGACCAAGAAGAAAGGAAACTTCAGTTCTATCGCTGAAACTCAAGTAGTGCATAATCGAGCACTGATGGTGAAATGTACAGTTGTGTCACTGTGTTAAGGATGGCAGTCATTGTGTGAAGGATGGCAGACATTGTGTGAAGGATGGCAGACATTGTGTGAAGGATGGCAGACATTGTATGGAGGATGGCAGTCATTGTGTAAAGGATGGCAGTCATTGTATGGAGGATGGCAGTCATTGTGTAAAGGATGGCAGTCATTGTGTAAAGGATGGCAGTCATTGTGTGGAGATGACAGACTGTGTGGAGATGACAGACTGTGTGAAAGATGATGACAGACATTGTGTGGAGGAGGATGACAGACACTGTGTAGCAGACACAGGATGGAGAATTGCCTGCACTGTGTGGAGAATGGCGAGCACTGTGTGGAGAATGGCGAGCACTGTGTGGAGAATGGCGAGCACTGTGTGGAGAATGGCGAGCACTGTGTGGAGAATGGCGAGCACTGTGTGGAAAATGGCGAGCACTGTGTGGAAAATGGCAGACACTGTATGGATGGAGAATGGCAGACACTGTGTTTAGAATGGCAGACACTGTGTTTAGAATGGCAGACACTGTATGGATGGAGAATGGCAGACACTGTGTTTAGAATGGCAGACACTGTGTGGAGAATGGCAGACACTGTGTATAGAATGGCCGACACTGTATGGAGAATGGCCGACACTGTATATAGAATGGCCGCCACTGTATGGAGAATGGCCGCCACTGTATGGAGAATGGCCGCCACTGTATATAGAATGGCCGACACTGTATATAGAATGGCCGACACTGTATATAGAATGGCCGACACTGTATATAGAATGGCCGACACTGTATGGAGGATGGCCGACACTGTATGGAGAATGGCCGACACTGTATGGACAATGGCCGACACTGTATGGACAATGGCCGACACTGTATGGACAATGGCCGACACTGTATGGAGAATGGCCGACACTGTATATAGAATGACCGACATTGTATATAGAATGGCCGACACTGTATGGAAAATGGCCGACACTGTATGGAAAATGGCAGACACTGTATATAGAATGGCCGACACTGTATATAGAATGGCCGATACTGTTTATAGAATGGCCGATACTGTATGGAGAATAGCCGACACTGTATGGAGAATAGCCGACACTGTATGGAGAATGGCCGACACTATGGATAATAGCCGACACTGTATGGAGAATAGCCGACACTGTATAGAGAATAGCCGACACTGTATGGAGAATGGCAGACACTGTATGGAAAATGGCAGACACTGTATGGAGAGTGGCAGACACTGTATATAGAATGGCAGACACTGTATATAGAATGGCAGACACTGTATGAAGAATGGCAGACACTGTATGGAGAATGGCAGACACTGTATGGAGAATGGCAGACACTATGGAGAATGGCCGACACTGTATGGAGAATGGCCGACACTGTATGGAGAATGGCCGACACTGTATATAGAATGGCCGAAACTGTATGCATTATGGCCGACACTGTGTGGATAATGGCCGACACTGTATGGAGAATGGCCGACACTGTATGGAGAACGGCCGACACTGTATGGAGAACGGCCGACACTGTGTATAGAATGGCCGACACTGTGTAAAGAATGGCCGACACTGTATGGAGAATGGCCGAAACTGTATGCATAATGGCCGACACTGTGTGGATAATGGCCGACACTGTGTGGATAATGGCCGACACTGTATGGAGAATGGCCGACACTGTATGGAGAACGGCCGATACTGTATATAGAATGGCCGACACTGTGTATAGAATGGCCGACACTGTATATAGAATGGCCGACACTGTATATAGAATGGCCGACACTGTATATAGAATGGCCGACACTGTATATAGAATGGCCGACACTGTATATAGAATGGCCGACACTGTATATAGAATGGCCGACACTGTATATAGAATGGCCGACACTGTATATAGAATGGCCGACACTGTATATAGAATGGCCGACACTGTATGGAGAATGGCCGACACTGTATGGAGAATGGCCGACACTGTATGGAGAATGGCCGACACTGTATATAGAATGGCCGACACTGTATATAGAATGGCCGACACTGTATGGACAATGGCCGACACTGTATGGAGAATGGCCGACACTGTATGGAGAATGGCCGACACTGTATGGACAATGGCCGACACTGTATGGACAATGGCCGACACTGTATGGAGAATAGCCGACACTGTATGGAGAATAGCCGACACTGTATATAGAATGGCCGACACTGTATATAGAATGGCCGACATTGTATATAGAATGGCCGACACTGTATGGAAAATGGCAGACACTGTATATAGAATGGCCGATACTGTTTATAGAATGGCCGATACTGTATGGAGAATAGCCGACACTGTATGGAGAATGGCCGACACTATGGATAATAGCCGACACTGTATGGAGAATAGCCGACACTGTATAGAGAATAGCCGACACTGTATGGAGAATGGCAGACACTGTATGGAAAATGGCAGACACTGTATGGAGAGTGGCAGACACTGTATATAGAATGGCAGACACTGTATATAGAATGGCAGACACTGTATGGAGAATGGCAGACACTGTATGGAGAATGGCAGACACTATGGAGAATGACCGACACTGTATATAGAATGGCCGACACTGTATGGAGAATGGCCGACACTGTATATAGAATGGCCGAAACTGTATGCATAATGGCCGACACTGTGTGGATAATGGCTGATACTGTATGGATAATGGCCGACACTGTATGGAGAATGGCCGACACTGTATGGAGAACGGCCAACACTGTATGGAGAATGGCCGACACTGTATGGGAATGGCAGACACTGTATGGAGAATGGCAGACACTGTATAGAGAATGGCAGACACTGTATGGAGAATGGCCGACACTGTATGGAGAATGGCCGACACTGTATGGAGAATGGCCGACACTGTATGGAGAATGGCCGACACTGTATGGAGAATGGCAGACACTATATGGAAAATGGCAGACACTGTATGGAGAAGAATGGCCTTCACTGGGATGCAGGGATAAAACTGACTGTGTGTACATTGAGCGATATGATAAAATGTATGTGTTCCTTTAGGAGATGTGAAAGGTCACAACATATAGAAGACGCACAGGTTCACAATACAGGCAACCATGCGAGGAAAATATGTCCCCAGACACCAACAGGACACAAGACGTGTGAAAGAGTAATACAAAGAGAGTGAGTGAAAAGTAGAAAATAACGGACAGGGATAATAAATTAAAACGCAGTACAGATGAAAGAGAAACATGTAGGGAAAGAGGTGGGAAAAGAAAGATAGACAGACAGAAAGATACACATAATGAGAGAGAGAGAGAGAGAGAGAGAGATAGAGAGAGAGAGAGAGAGAGAGAGAGAGAGAGAGAGAGAGAGAGAGAGAGAGAGAGAGAGAGAGAGAGAGAGAGAGACAGAGAGACTTACTTCATTCTAGTAGTGTGTGTATCACTCAGTTTGGACCACTCTCGAAGCAGCTGCTCCATCTGGGAGCGGATATTGGCGGCCTCCTCCTGGCTGGCTTGCAGCATGACGTCATCCTTCTGAGACTCCAGCTCTGTTAGGTTCTCTTGAATATCCCAGACTTTCTGCTCCTCTATCTAAGAGTTAACGGGACATTAGAGCATGAGACACATGTCGTAACAGAAAGGTACAAAGAACACAGTAACAGAGAGGAACAAGGAACACACACGATCGACAGGTACAAGGAACACACACGATCGACAGGTACAAGGAACACACACGATCGACAGGTACAAGGAACACACACGATCGACAGGCACAAGGAACACACACGATCGACAGATACAAGGAACACACACGATCGACAGGCACAAGGAACACACACGATCGACAGGTACAAGGAACACAAGCGACATAGAGGTACAAGGAACTCAAGCAACAGACAGGTACAAGGAACACAAGCGATAGACAGGTACAAGGAACACAAACGATAGACAGGTACAAGGAACACGAGCGATAGACAGGTACAAGGAACACAGTTACAGACAGGTACAATGAACACAAGCGACAGACAAGTACAAGGAACACAAGCGATAGAGAGGTACAAGGAACACGAGCGATAGACAGGTACAAAGAATACAGTTACAGACAGATACAAGGAACTCAGTTACAGACAGGTACAAGGAACACAAGCGACAGACAAGTACAAGGAACACGAGCGACAGACAAGTACAAGGAACACAAGCGAAAAACAGACAGGAAATTACAACCACACTACAACACGAACTAGACAGACTTAATGAGTGGTGCCAGGAATCAAGAGCTCAGGTGAACCCGTCCAAAGCTTCCTTTACATGGTTCTCTCTGAATACCCACATCGTGAGTACACCAACGCCAGTCGTCAGCATCTGTGGTGTGGACATCGAGAGAACGGACACCATGAAATACCTGGGCATGACATTTGACAGATGCTTGTCATGCAAATGCCACGTAGACAACGTCATACTTAGAGCCAGGAAAGGTTTGACAGCACCCAAGGTGCTAGCAGCAGCTGATATTGAACAACGTCTACTTTTTCTTCTCTATCAAGGGCTTGTGCTTAGCGTCGTTGGCTATGGTCTTGGCCTCCTCACTGTCAGCAAAACCCAGCTAGAAAGACTGGACCGAGTACAGAATGAGGCCATGAGACTCATACTCGGCTGCACAAAAGACACCTCCTGCAACGCCATGCGTTATATCCTGGGTCTGCCGACTATGACAAGCAGATACAAAGTGGCACAGGTCAAGGCTTACATGAGGGTATCGGCAGATGTTAACCACCCATTACACAAAGCTATTCACGACACAAAAAGAACGCGTCTCAAAAGGGGCCGCTCTTGGATGGCAAAGGCTGAGGACTTAATCCAGCAGGTATGTGACCTAGACGTGATCAGCCACGGAAAAGAATGGACGAATACACCAGTAGACATGCATGGCATCTCTAAAGTTCTCATCACACTCGGAATGTACTGCAGGGGTCAAATTCCTGCGGCGGTAGACACAGAAGTAAGGGAACTGATAGATCAGCATTCAGACCCAGAAGATACCATCATCTACACAGATGGATCCGTGAAGCGTGGATCAAGGTCAGCATGGGCATACACAGCGCAAAGAAAGGGGAAAACAATACATGAGGACAGCGGCGCTTACCAGACAACCACGTCAAGCATGACAATGGAAATAGCCGCTGCTTCTAGAGCTTTAGCATGGGTATCCGAGCAAACCGCCACACAGGTAGTAATTGTCTCAGACTCAATGAATATGCTTCAGAAGATAGCAACAGGCAGTATGCGCTCTGAATGGATAGAAAGCATTAGGAAATCGCACTTAACCTCCGTAACCTGGATCTACACACCGGGTCATGCGGGCGTGAAGGGAAATAAGCGAGCAGACCAACTGGCAAGCACTGCACTAATGATTGCGGGAAAAAGTATGGACAGAGCAGACATAGTCAACGCTGTACGAACTGGGCTAGTGGAGAATGAGGAATCCCTGACACTAAAACGATTGCGTGACATGGGAGTTAAGCATGGTGATGCACGTCTTTGCCGTCTTCGAGGCCGAGAAAGGAGACAATATAACCAGCTTCTCATGGGGACAATTAGTAGAAGTACTTTAGAGTGGCTGCTGCTTCGGAGAACTGAGCACGCATGGGTATGCCCAATGTGCAGTGACATTAATTGTGATAACAGAACATAAAATAACATCTTAGTAGGGAGTCGGCAGTACGAAACCCAAGTTCAAGGTGTCTCCTTCGTGCCAAAGAACTGCATGGCTGTTGGGTGAACAGTCGTTAACGATGGCAGGCAGGTCGTTGTAGGGGCGACGCCTGCTGGTGGATGTAATGTCCTAAGTCCCTTTCCCAGCTAATAAGGAGGGTACTGCTGGGGTGACCGTTTATTAACCCTCTTATAATTCTTCCCGTCAAAATGGACGCTAGGTACGGCCACCTTTTTTTTTTTTTTAAAGCCGTGGCAAATATTCTTTTTTGCCAGACGGTGGCCGTTGCATTTTTGCCCCATTTGTAGAATGGAAGGATGTAGTTTCGTCGCCCAGCTTTTGAGTTGAGTGCATGGCGTGACACTGTGAGCTGCGATTGTTTTTCGTTGGCACAGGAGCGGAGCATATGTGGGGTGACCCCATTGCTATGAAGCTGAAACTAGGATTACCAGATTACCAGAAGGAACACAGTTGCAGAGAGGTACAAGAAACACAAGCGACAGACAAGTACAAGGAACACAAGCGAGAGACAGGTACAAGGAACACAAGCGATAGACAGGTACAAGGAACACAAGCGATAGACAGGTACAAGGAATACAGTTACAGACAGATACAAGGAACACAGTTACAGACAGGTACAAGGAACACAAGCGACAGACAAGTACAAGGAACACAAGCGATAGACAAGTACAAGGAATACAAGCGATAGACAGGTACAAGGAACACAGTTACAGACAGATACAAGGAACACAGTTACAGACAGGTACAGGAATACAAGCGATAGACAGGTACAATGAACACAGTTACAGACAGATACAAGGAACACAGTTACAGACAGATACAAGGAACACAGTTACAGACAGGTACAAGGAACACAGTTACAGATAGATACAAGGAACACAGTTACAGACAGATACAAGAAACACAGTTACAGACAGATACAAGGAACACAGTTACAGACAGATACAAGGAACGCAGTTACAGACAGGAACAAGGAACACAGTTACAGACAGATACAAGGATACAGTTACAGACAGATACAAGGAACACAGTTACAGACAGGTACAAGGAACACAGTTACAGACAGGTACAAGGAACGCAAGCGACAGACAGGTACAAGGAACACAAGCGACAGACAGGTACAAGGAACACACACGGTACAAGTACAATGAAAAAGAAAAGTGATAGGCACTGTCAGGGGGTAGCTCCCCCCCCCCCCCTTCTTTCTCCCAACTCCTTTCTCCCAGTTATATGAGGAGTATCTATCTGTATTACTTTTTAATGGTAGAAGAGTGACGTGAAGCAGAAGTTTTACCTTTATCTTGGCATCCTGCGCCTGTCTGGCCTCATCTTCAACAAGAACCCCCTCCTCCTGCTCCATGTCGGACCTCAGCTGGGAGATCTGCGCCAAGAGCCGCCTGAGAGCCTGCAGATAGTGAGCAGGCGAGTGCGCCAAAGTGGTAGTTCTGGTGACGCTGGTGGACACAACATTATACGACGTGCGGCTGATGACGCTCTCGCTGGGAGAACTGTAGGCCACAGCTGAAGAGGTAGTGGACAGAACCGGCGACTGGGTGGTCTCTCGGATTCTGGCAGCAGCCACGGCTGGCGGGGATGGAGGGGCAGTGGACAACTGAGTTGTGAGGGCTCGGAGTCGGTTGTCGAGAGATTCCACTTCGGCGCTGGCATTGTGTTCTGTGAGTTCCTGCGCCCGAGCTTTAAGAGCAACCAGGTCTCGGCCTCTCCTCCTGATTTCTTCTTCTAGAACCTGCGAATAATATTAATAATAATAATAATAATAATAATAATAATAATATTAATAATAATAATAATAAGATGAATAATTATAATCATAACAACAACACATTTTATCCCAGGAAATGGTAATGTAAGAAGCAATGGTAGCAAAGTGACTAGGAGAGAGAGAGAGAGAGAGAGAGAGAGAGAGAGAGAGAGAGAGAGAGAGAGAGAGAGAGAGAGAGAGAGAAGGGGGGGGGAGAGAAAAGGAGAGAGGGGGTAGGGAGAGACATAGACAGGCAGAGTGACGGAGAGATAGGAGGGAGGGAGAGACATATAAAGACAGGCAGACAGAGACATAAACAGAACATCTGGAAAATTAGACACAGGAAAGTAATAATTACACACAGGAAAGTAATATAAAAGAAAACAAATAGAAAACACGCAGAGTAAAGACAACTTCACAAGGGAAATTAATAAACATGAAAATTACGACTGGGAGGTGGACGGTGACTATCACCACTTCATTAAATAGCGTGCTATGGAATAATTCCGACAGTAGCAGGCCCACAGTTGGGATTTGTGTGCGGTAATATTACTTGCATCTGCCGAAACACTTCCGTGTCTATGCCTACAAACGTCTACCGATCGATCGATCAGTGGGCCCCACTCGGGGATGTTAGCTACCCAAAAGGTTTACCATTCAACCCTGAAATTTGAAAATCTCCGTCTGGGCGGCAGACCAACAATGCGGATTCCCGAAACTCCGTCGGGGCTCCAAAGAAGTTATAATTATGACCCTGGAAACGGTTACAGCAACCAGGCATTAAGATGCAGTTCCATACGGGTGAGGATTAACGGGACTAGGTTTGATCAGGATGTTCAGTTCACAAGCACAACGCCCCAGAAGATCAGCTACAAGATCAAGAGGAAGACCGCCAAACTATGGATCGACATCATTAAAGACACCCTAAGCCTTCACAGCCTGACAATAGCCAGCGTTGACTGGATGGCAAATTATTCTTCCCCATAACGCTTAACGTCAGAAGTGGTTTATGATGATGATGTCCAGTCAGTTGCAAATGAGAGACTGAGGGGGAGGGAATTAGGAGGGAATACTGGAGAAGATGATGACGACTGGAACGAAAATCTGTACAAGTGGCAGAGAGAAATGATGCTGAATGGTCTATGGCAGTGACACGGAGGAATGAGGAGTGGCTGAGGTGTCAGCAGTGAAAAGAAGGCTTATGGCATTTGTAAAGAAAACAACGATGACGGTGAAAATGGTTCTGACAATGATGGCTAACAAACGCGAACATGATTAGTGTCTGGAGATGGGGATATCAAGAAGAATGGGTCGTATCTCGTGGACATCGAAGCAATGAAATACAAAGACCCTGAGGAGGCCGAGAACGAAAAGACAGTTCCTTAAATAACTATTTCAAAAGCAAGGGGGGAAAAAGAGATGCAACATAACGCTCTCATGAAAACTATATTGGAGGGAGAAAGAGGAGGGCAAAGAAGGACCTGGAAAACATCAAGAAATGGACAGGACTAAGTCATCGTACACTTGCCAAAACTTTCGTTTCCTCCCCCCCCCCTTTTTTTTGGGGGGGGGGGGGGGGAGAGATCGACAAAGGACCGAATCGAAAATGGCAGATACAGCAGAAGATCTCGCAAAGAAGAAGAAAAGAAACTTCAGAAAGTTCACCTACAGGGGTGATGATCTTAATCAGCTCTTGCAGATTTGTTCAACTGCCGTCAGCGACGTCGCCTGAACCGTGGTTTGAAGCGCAGACCTTTGGCTTTGATGAATAGGTTGAGGAAAGCTAAAAAGAATTCCGGACCTCTTGAGAAACCAGAGGTAGTCAAGACACATTTGCGTGACATGATCATTGTTCCTGAGATGATTAGATCCATCGTTGGTGTCTACAATGGGAAAAACCTTCAATCAGGTGGAGATCAAGCCTGAGATGGTTGGACACTATCTGGATGAGTTCGCAATCACATGCAAGCCGGTCAAGCACGGTGGCCCCGGTATTGGTGCCAAACACTCTTCAATTTTTATTCCACTCAAGTAAATGCTTGAATAAAGTGACTGTATAGATTGAAAAACAAATTATTATACACTTATCCATCAAGAGTAAGATAGGGAAAGGCTGGTTTTATTTGTCAGTGCTTCAGGCAATACCCCTCCACGACCCTAATGGAGGAAGGATTATGTTATGTTATTGGAAGGACGGAGGCGAGAAAGCAAGGGATAAACATCGATTCTAGTGGGAAGATAACATGACGCGGTGGACGGGCCAGAAGTCAAGAGTGTACAACTAAGACTAAAGACAGAGCTTGTAGATCGTCTGCTGCCAACTGTTGCCCTGGAGACGGGACCTGACTGAGCGGTCGAGACTGTTCCCCAAGAAAGATGGTGAAGAAAGTTATGGTAGACAATGTGTGCCTATGGCCTAGTCCGTACCTACCAGGTGGTAGGGACGCCGAAACCGTTGGGGAAGGTAGAATTGCCCTTACAAGGGGGCTAACCAGCCGCTAACCATTTACTGACATTGTCCTTTTAATTATATAAGCAAAACATTTTCTATTTTAATTATATTATTCTGATTATTTGCTATTCAGCACATTATAATAATTACTGCGCATTTAAACAAGGCTTAACCAGCTCCCCTCTTAGACCCTCGCATCACATGACTTCTATGTGAGAATGCCCCTGCAGGGCTGATGTTTGATGATCAACAGTTAGGGAGGAAAACAAATGTCAACTGAAACCAGGGCCAACGGCTCGCATTTAAAAAAAAAACCCGACCCAACGCTAGAATTACACCCTGGGAGGGGAGACAAATATTTTCTTGGGAATGAGTTGGAAGCCGAAGGCAAGGAGATCCAAAAGGCGGGAGGTAATCCGACAACAAGAGAAATAATCAAGTCGTGCCATTAGACAAAGGTGCTCCTAGAGATAAGGTGATGAATACACGAGTGAGCAAAGATAGCCTGCACCTTTCTCGGTGAGTCATCGCTCTAAAGGCAAAGTTACATCAGAGCAGCCTATACGCAGTCTGGTGAGAAGGGGTCAATCATAACTAAACCTAACTTTGTCTATGAGTGTAGCTTGTTGTGGAATTATCACATTCTTGATGTAGCCTGTGGAATTATCACATTCTTGATGTAGCTTGTTGTGGAATTATCACATTCTTGATGTAGCTTAATGTGGAATTATCACATTCTTGTAACAAACAAATCCTAGAGCAGTTGTTTACGGAAGGATATGAAATAGTAGAAACTATTGAAGTTTTTTCTTTGAAATCTTATTCTGTGCTACCAATATTATGAGTTCATCATCCTCCTCCTCATCATCATCAACCGTTACATTGCGTTTCGTTGGCTCATCAGTTGCTGTTGACTGTCTGATCAGCTCCCTCCCCCTCAGACGATCAGAGATGCAATGTACCTCATGGTTGCATGCATAAGGCCTGTCCAGTCAGCCAGGTTGTTAAGGTGTTTCTTGGTCTGCCTCTTCTCCTCTACTGAGCCCTGTAGTACTGTGTTTTTGAAGCCATTCAATCTTATTGCGTATACGAACGAATGCATTTTCCGTCTTTTCACTGTAGTTAAAAGAGGTTCATAGTTGTCACTCGGCTGGATAATATACGGCAAACCTCGTCATTTGTGATGTGGTCTCTAATTGATTGCCACTTCCAGGCTGCTAGCTGGAAATTTAACACCTCTGCGACTCAAAGAGTATTATTCTGGATGCCAATCAAAAAGAACAAATCACAAATACTCCATCCGACCCCTACTCCTAAAAAGATATAATTACGGGACCCATAAGGGCTTTTTTTCCGTACATCTGCTGTTAAAGATGAGTAACAATGTGTATCAGAGGAAGCAGTTTTAAGATAGACTGAACTTGCAAGTTCCCTGTTTAAGGCAGACTGAACGACCTACAAAAAGCTAATGGGACGACTTGCCCAAGCAGTCTGAATGACTCACTGCAGGCAGACTGAACGACCTACTGAAAGCAGAATGAACGACCTACAAGATGCAGCCTGAACTACCTAGTGGAGGCAGACTGAACGACCTACTGGTGGCAGACAGAACGTCCTACTGGAGGCAGACTGAACGACCGCATGAATGCAAAGTAATCAACCTACTACAAGCAGACTGAACGACTTACAAAATGAAGCCCGAACTACCTGCTGGAGGCACACTGAACCACCTACAAGATCCAGTCTGAACTGCCTCATGGAGGCACAATGAACGACTTAATCAGGCAGACTGATCGACCTACTAGTGGCAGACTGGACAATTTGATGTAGGCAGACTGCACGACCTATGAATGCAAAGTAATCAACCTACTGGGGGCAGACTGAACGACCTGCAAAAGACAGGCTGAACGATCTGTTTTCTTAAAAGAGCTATGAGCTGTCAGACAACAGTTGCAAAGTGCAGGTGAAACCATAATTTGACACAGTTTTTCCCCCAAAGCGTCTGGCTTTTTTTTTAATCTTCTGTCACGCTCAATCGACTGTCAAATAAACAAAAGACTGGTTATGGCCCTTGAACAATGAAAAACAGGCGGTAGATTTCACGGACAAGACCATAGATCAGAAATTGTCAAACTCACGGTGCAATGGTCGGGGAGATAAAATTGTCAAATTTGTTGAACGTATGATGTGGTGATGTTGGGGCTACAGATGTCAGGAAGCATCAAAAGATTCTGCTTGCCGCCAGAGATTTTACAGTAAAAACACACACACCACACACATGCGCACGCACGCACACAAGTTATAAAACTGGAATGGCGCGCGCAAGCATACTTTCACAAACCACACAATCGGTCAAACCACGTCCGACTCTGTTGCACAAGTAAACAAATCCCGTGGCAGTTGGAAATCGAAAAAAAGTCGCATAGCAGCGCTGCGTGGATTTATATCATGGTTTGGGACGCCGCAGGTCAAACTGGCCTGAAATGGGTAGCAGGATGTATGTTATGGGGAAGTAAAGACGGCCGGCGTAATGCTGACCACATTACCCACCTAGTGCCGATTGCCTGTAAAAAATATGGGTGCTCTTCCCATTTGTCCGCTGCGACTAAAGGCGTGAAAAGGAATCTTTACTTTACTAAATACAAGGTGTCAGATGAATAAAACCCTGAGTGCTCTATATAGCATGCTTAAAGGCGACATACTGGTGTTTTGTGAACGCCGCTGTGATCGGACAGGCCGACAGACGCAGATATCGCAGACTAGTTGCAAACTGCAACATAAAGTATCATCGCAGGTTTAAAGGCGAATGATGATGATATTGATCATGATGGAGGAGGAAGAGACATAGGAAGAGAAGGGGGAGGAAAAGAAGGTGGAGGAAGAGGAGGGAAAACAGTTATACTGAGGTTCCCTTGCGTCTTTCCAAGGAAGTAAGAAAAAAAAAACCCTGACATGTTGTGAGGGTCGCCTTTAACCCCCCCCCCCCCCTTTCCACCCCAGTGGAGCACAGACCTTTAACAAACTCAGTAGTTCTATCCGTTGCTATCGCCTGTAGCTGGCCTCCCTGTGTTTTCGGGTTTACCATTATCCCTTAGATCCCGTGCAAATGACATTCCATTCTATTTATTTTGCTGTCTCCAATCGAAGAAAAGGGGACCGGGGGGGGGGGGGGGTGTAGGGACGCGAATAAGTTTCAAGGGAGCGTCAAGCTATTTTAAAATTGAGTCCATGTGTATTTGTACTAATCCGGATTCTCAGATTTAATAGTCACGAAAACAAAACAGCGCTGACATCTGAATGTTGAGGATAATCGCTGCTGTGCCCTGTCCAATATCAGATCCACAAAAAAAAAAAAAAGCAGATATCATCAAGACAAAACAGTGTTAACCGTCACATTGATAACTGGACACCAGAGTGCCGGTTGTCGGTGATTGTCTCTTTTGTTAACTGGCACTGATTTTTGCGGATCCATCGTCAATCATTTTAATGATTACTGGACACTAGAGTGACGGTTGTCGGTGATTGTCTCTTTTGTTATCTGGCACTGATTGTTGCGGATTTTTTTTTTTTTTTGGGGTACAAGTTCTTGTTAACGGAGCTTGGGGCGGGTGTAGGGGGGGGGAGGGGGGGCGTCTTGCCAAACCAGAAGCGTCATCTGTATGAAGAGAAGGGAGGGGATTGAACCTCTAATCTAGCTACCAACCCAAACCGACACAACCGGATCACACTAGAACAAATGAGGAACAGAACCTCTCTAAGGTTCCATTTAACATTTCACACACATATCCACGACACGACTAACACGTTTTTATTGCAGGAAGACAACAATAAGAACACTACGGTCACACGCGGAATACTTTCACACTTCGGATCTATCCACAACCAAAAACTGTTTTCAGTACTTTTTGACAAAGTAAAATACTCAAAATTTAAAAACTGTAAATGGTGGTCCAAAGGACGTTATGAATTGAAGGTCGCTCTCCTGCTAAATACGCCTGGCCAAATCATAGAGAGGTGAAACCAAGGAAAAAGACCCGGAAGGAAAAGGCAAGAAGCACACAGCTAACAACAGGGTAGAGATCGAGTGGTATGACCCGAAGGAAGGAAGCATCAAGCACAGAAACGGTGCAAACCCTAAAACTTTAGTCACGAAACTGACGCAAAAAAGCCAGACCACAAATATAGACGGAGACTGTTAGCAGCCTCGGCTAGCTAGCAGCAGTCTGAAAGTGGTCCACCTTTTTACTTTTTTTTTCAAAATGAATCGGAATCGGAATAAACATCTAATCAACCATTATTCTCAAAAAACGATGAATAAACTAAATATTGTTGTGATGGTCGCCAAGATGACGAAATTATGGATCCCCTCCAGTCTGTCTATTACCTTCTTTACTCACCAGGCCCGGCGATTTCATTCACATGTTCGCCTAACGTTTGACACGGGGTAATTTAGCATGGAAATACAAACCGTGGGCAGATAAGAGTTAATTTACTGTTGAAAGGCTCAGATAAATACTTGTGCGTGTTTTGCCGTTACCTGCAAGAGCAAGTGCAGTGTCTTATCTCGTTGAAAGAGAAACAGTTTCTGAAGGAGGTAATCGGTTGTTTTATTATTCGTAGCTTTCGTCAATTCCCTATCACCAATGCTGTTTCCTGTGTTTACGTATGTAAACTATCCTAGTTACATTCTGCTAGACGGCAAGTACAGGTGGGTTTTAAATATGTATATACGTGTCTGGAAAAATGCACCAACAAGCATTATTTTCCAAGGGTCATAATTTTGGTATGCAGGCCTGGCTCACATTCGGCCCTTCCAAACACTCATTTTACAAACTGCAATTTGTATTTTGCAGTTATAGAATATCAGCAACGCGCTGACAACTTTTTTTTTTTTAGGTTTCATTGTTAACTTTATTATTACATTAGTGTGTGTGTGTGTCTCACAAGGTGGTGCAGGTATACATGCTCTCAGACCTAGATCCTTGGTGTTCAGGATCAACACTCACTTCTGCTCTACATCAACTAGACCACCTAGCATTATTTCTTTCAGTCAGCCTCTTCGGCCGGTGACGTGTCTTAAGATGTTCTCTATTGCCTATCATTCAAATTAAATTGAGAAAAAACACTTTCTAACTCATATTCTTCAGAAAAAGTTTTGCTGTCTAAGCTTTTTCTGTTTGTTTACATTACTATTTTTCTGCTGGTGCTTCGTCCTTGTCTCCCTTTGGGCCCTTGTGTAGATCAACTGGGAGTTGTGTTTGGACACCAAGTGAATCAACCTTTTTGAATGTAATTATCTCAGTGCCTGCTTGGCCAAGGAGCCCCTGACCTTTAACCTCTCAGACACCACAGACGGAGTAATCAGCTTGTAGCTGGGCACCTCCTTGTACAGTTTGTCGTAAGTGGCCGTGTCAAAGAGGATCAAGTTGTTGAGCTTGTCACGAACTTTGCCCTTTGACCACTTCTTTTTATTTTTCCCGCCAGAGCCTTCCTTCTTGGGTTTTCCAACCACTGGCTTGGCAGCCTTGGCTGACTTTGCATCAGCTGTCTTTTTTGCTCCCATGCTGCGATCCGCGTTGGAGAATTAAGAACGCGCTGACAACTACCTATACAACCCTCACAATACGCACGTCATTATTTCAAAGATTTGACTTCATTGGGACTTATGTAAAAAAACTCTTGAAAGATCTGAACATCAAGGAAGATTGGCTAATAAACAGCATCCTGTCTCGGAAGCTGAAATATTGTGGTCATATCAAGCGCTACAACGGCTTGAAAAAATTAATAGCAGAAGGCATGGTACCAGGAAGGAGGGGCAGAGGCAGACCAACACCAAGATGTGCACAGGATATAAGTTATTCCTTGAGTATGAAATTACATGAGGCGGGAGAGCTGGCGAGAGACCGAGTTTCTTTCAGACATACCGTGATGAGAGCGATGTTCTGACAAAGGACCTGCTACACGATGATGATGTAAAACACTAAACATACCATCAGTATCAGGTAAAATACACAAACAAATGGATGGTAAATATGGAGGTGATTAGCTAGATATCACAGAGGGTTAGAGAACGAGAGGGGCGGTATTCCACAGGCAGAGAGATCAGAATGAACGAACCGACGAACGTTCTGTCTTTCTAAAGGGTTCCGTGAACTGAAGAAAGGCAGGCGCGTGAAATGAACTCTGGCTTCGAAGGAAGCAGTCCGTAATAAGTTGATTCTGACAGTGGATGATAAATCGTGAACTAGCCTCTTTTCGAAAAGCATTTGTGCCCGATCTGTCAGTGTTGTCACAGCTCTTTCAGCTTCTTTGGACAGCGCTTAGGATCAACCCAGCCATTTTCTCAACGGACAGAAACAGAACCGCTGCATCATGGGACGACAATCATATGATCTTTTACTTACTGGTCAGTACTTATTATATCATCGACGTATGTGGCTTAGGCGTGGCGAAAGCGCCTTGTAATGCTGGGGGGCCGGGTTTATTCCCAGCTGCAGGCAATTAGGCAGCAGACCGTCTTGCGTTGGTTTAAACAGTTGTACCGAGAGCTGACCGTTCTGGGCAATGGCAAACTACCGAACCTAAAATGTGGCTAGAAAAATCACAACATAAAAAAAAATACAGGGGCTGGCTCTGCAATGTCCCGTAAAGGATACGCAATTACCTTATCATATGACTATGGCATAATCAAGTTCAACATTCACAATTACGCGAGGTGCGGCACGAACTGGTTTCAAGTGAACGTTCATAACATTAGTATTCCGCATTCAATGATTATGATCACAAGGGCTCAGGCAAGTTCGGTGAGAAGGCAATGGCTTGAATCGTTGCAAAAGTCCACTGTGCGTGGGGTCACCTTTATTTTTCGTTCCAGGAGATGGGGGCGTCGATAAAATAAAAAAAAAAAAGATCTGATAGGTTGGCTGGATCCGCTATCAAGGTCAACCTATGGATCAAGCTGATATTATTAATACCCCCCGACAAATGGGAAGGGTGGAGGACTTTGGGAGCAGTGAATCTACATCACTCGCCAGACTTGTGAGGTAAGATCGGCATAACAACAACAACGAGATGCACACCAGGCACATCCGAGGACTTGTCAACACAGAACTGGTACTATTAGCCACCGGACGCTGGGGTTTATACTTTGGGGGGGGGGGGGGGAGGAGCACCTATGGGTATGTCTGGAGTGCAATGATGATAACTCAATTAACTAACTAACTAACTAACTAACCAACCAACCAACCAACCAACCAATTAACTAACTAACTAACTGACTGACTGAATAAATGAATGACTGCATGACTGGCTGACTAACTGACTGACTGACTGACTAACTAACTAACTAACTAGCTGACTGACCGACTAACTGACTGACTGACTACATGACTGGCTGATTGACTAACTAACTAACTAACTAACTAACTAACTAACTAACTAACTAACTAACTAACTAACTAACTAACTAACTAACTAACTAACTAACTAACTAACTAACTAACTAACTAACTAACTAATAGCTGACTGACTGACTGAGTAACTAACTAACTAATAGCTGACTGACTGACTGAGTAACTAACTAATAGCTGACTGACTTACTGAGTAACTAACTAACTAATAGCTGACTGACTGACCAATTAATAACCAACTAACTAACTAGCTAACTAAATGACTGACTGAGTAACTAACTAACTAACAGCTGACTGAATGACCGACTAACAAACTAACTGGCTGACTGATTGCATGACTGACTGACTGCATGACTGACTAACTAACTAACTAACTAACTAACTAACTAACTAACTAACTAACTAACTAACTAACTAACTAACTAACTAACTAACTAACTAACTAACTAACTAACTAACTAACTAACTAACCAACCAACTAACTACTGACTGACTGACTAACTAATAGCTGACTGACTGACTGACTGAGTAACTAACTAACTAACAGCTGACTGACTGACTGAGTAACTAACTAACTGACTGACTGACTGTGTAACTAACTAACTAATTAATTAACTGACTGGCTAACTAACTAACTAACTAACTAACTAACTAACTAACTAACTAACTAACTAACTAACTAACTAACTAACTAACTAACTAACTAACTAACTAACTAACTAACTAACTAACTAACTAACTAACTAACTAATTAACTAACTAACTAAATGACTGGCTAACTAACTAACTGACTGACTAACTAACTGACTAACTAACTGACCAACTAACTGACTGACTAACTAACTAACCAACTAACTGACTGACTAACTGACTGACTGACTAACTAACTGACTGACTAACTAACTAACTAACTAGCTGACTAACTGACCGACTAACTAACTAACTGACTGACTGACTGCATGACTGACCGACTGCATGACTGGCTGACTGACTGACTGACTAAGTAACTAACTAACTAATAGCTGACTGACTGACTAACTAACTAATAGCTGACTGACTGACTGACTGACTAACTAACTAACTGACTGACTGACTGACTAACTGACTAACTAACTAACTGACTGACTAACTGACTGACTAACTAACTAACTGACTAACTGACTAACTAACTGACTGACTAACTAACTGACTGACTAACTAACTGACTGACTGACTAACTGACTAATGAACTGACTGACTAACTGACTAATGAACTGACTGACTAACTGACTAATGAACTGACTGACTAACTAACTGACTAACTATGACTGACTGACTGACTGACTAACTGAGTAACTGCTGACTGACTAACTAACTGACTAACTAACTGACTAACTAACTAACTAACTGACTAACTAACTGACTGACTAACTAACTGACTGACTACTAACTAACTAACTGACTGACTAACTGACTAACTAACTGACTAACTAACTGACTAACTAACTAACTAACTGACTGACTAACTGACTGACTGACTAACTGACTGACTAACTAACTGACTAACTAACTGACTGACTGACTGACTGACTGACTAACTGACTGACTGACTAACTGACTGACTGACTGACTGACTGACTGACTGACTAACTAACTGACTGACTAACTGACTGACTGACTAACTGACTACTGACTGACTGACTGACTAACTAACTGACTAACTGACTGACTAACTAACTGACTAACTAACTGACTAACTAGCTGACTGACTAACTAACTGACTAACTAACTGACTGACTAACTGACTGACTAACTAGCTGACTGACTAACTAACTAACTAACTAGCTGACTAACTAACTGACTAACTAGCTGACTGACTAACTAACTAACTAATTGACTAACTAACTAACTGACTTACTAACTAACTGACTGACTAACTAATTGACTGACTAACTAACTAGCGTTCTGCGTTCTTTGACACGTAGATACCAAGATGTCATACCCGGTGCATTATGTATGTCAGTGGTTTGCACTGGGTGGCATGTTTGACAGGTTCTTGGTACATATAAATGGCTCTTGTCCCATGTGGGTTTTTTTTTTGGGGGGGGGGGGGGAAAGCGTGCAGAAATAGACTGCTAATAAAAAGCGATTCTCGTCTCTACACATAAAGTGCTATGACGGTGACCTTTCCTTCAGTAGTCTGCAAACAGAGGATGTCTGTTTCAATGCCAAGTACGGCGGGAGCAGGAGAGGGGAAATGGTTTTGCCGCCAAAACATCATGAACGTGTCATCATCATCATCATAACCACTACCATGGCGCAAAAACAGGCTCGCACAAACGACAACCGCCCCCCCCCCCCCCCCCACACACACACAAACCTATTTATTAAAGAGGGTGCTGAAGGAGGAGATTAATATACAACTGTTATAATTGGGGAAACTGTGGTTGTACCAAATTTACACTGCAACGGATGTGTGTATGTTTTTTAAACGATTGATTTATTCCTAATGTTTTATCTTATTTTAGAAGCCCCCGTGTGGGTTCCGGGGCCCCATTGTAGGGGAAAACAAGAATAGACCCACTGCCTACCCAAAAGCATGTCGTAAGAGTCGACTAATTGGGGAGCTTCCTTTGAAGTCGGAGTGCATCTGCCGGAGAGGCAAGGAACCAACAGTCTGTATTCAAGAGAATGAGATTTGTTAACTGATGCACACGCAACACTCAGGTTCTGGAGCAGGACTGCAGTTCAGTAGTGGACGAACAACCAGAACTTTCCGCCAGAGTGTACAGCTGGTGAACGTGAAGAAGAAGAAGAAGATCTTATTTTATTATGTAACTGTAACTTGAATCTGGTGAGACACACAGAAACAAGTTTGACGATTAAATGCATAAAATGCATCTTCAGAACTGACCTTTGCTCAACAAACAATCAGCGAGGCTTGCTTGGCCGAGAGGTCAAAATCGCCGGGCTCTCACTAGGGATGAGACAAGCTCGAATCCTTCGTTAAGGCGATGGAAGTTCGTCTGTCGGGGAGAGGAAAAAAGGGGGGGGGGGGCAAAATTAAAGTCCTAACATGGACAGTTTGTGGCGACGACACTAGTCATTTGGCCTAAATTTTAAACACTCTTAACCCTTGGGGATTAAGGAACATAAACAAATAGAAAAGGTGGGG